ATATGGCCAATTGTACACTCTCTTGTAGTGATTCATTAAATTACAATACCGATAAGTGATGAATAAGAGTCAAAAGACCAAAGAGGTTATTTTAATACCAAAAAAAATATATATATATAATATTAATAAAGATTATAGCTTAAGTTAGATAAAAGAGTATTTATAGGATAGCGATCCTAGTATAGTGCTTGGGTTGTCATCCTCCAAGTGGCAGGTCTAAGGTTCAAACCCCACCTACAATGAAATTTGAAAATTATATCTGCATTATAGTAACTGTCTTCTGTTGATCAGTTGGCCTCATGTGGCTGTTACCTAGGTACACCAGGCAGGTTCTCCTGGCTTTGGAAGCTCAAGGCATCTATGTGAAGTATAACATTACACATACATAGAGGAATGTTAACTGGTGTTGTATAAGACTTTGGTGCAAACCCATGATAAGACCACCAGGCGTAAAAGACTAAGAAACTAAGGTGACAGAAACCCACTTGGAAATTCTTGAGTAAAGAGGTAGCATGAACTTTCGACAGTACTATTAGACCGGTTGAAGTCTATGAAACACCTTTATAGGAACCGAAGATTAAAACTAAATGACAAATATGTGTAGAGGAGCACATAATCAACCAGGCTACTGGGTTCGCCAGAGGAAAAGGATACAAAAGTATACCATACCAGGCCATCTGGATTAGTAGTTTGAATAAATGAGACCGATGGCTCTGAGTTGTGGCTAGTAGAAGATGATGGAGAAGATGCCAGAAAGATGAGTATTGAGATTTTAGTGAACTTTACAAGGGTAGAAATAGTATAACATAGCAGTTAAACAGATAACCTCTGTGATTGCAAGTATTAGGTAATTATAGTATGTTGTATAAAACTAGGTCTATATATGTGAAACATAAAGGTTCTAGTAAGTTTCCTATTGAGGATAAAATAGTTCTAAGAAGACTGATAAGCATCAGGAACTTGGATGGGTGATGCCTTGAGATGTTCTCGTGATACAAGAAGGACTGCATATACAGAGGGTTTAAATAGGCAAGACCCCTAGTTGGTTTGCAGGTATGGCAACTAGTGTAGAACTTATATAGTAATGTGTAAGCAAACTATTTAAATTAGGCACCAAAAGTGCATATATGGCTAGTTGTAACCTTCAATGTAAGGTGAGCCCTTGGTGGCATGTCATATTTTAATATACTTGAATAAAAACATTGCAACTCCCAAGATAGGGACTTTAACTTTAAAAAAAAAAAAAAAAGAGTATTTATAATAATATTTTTTTAATCATTAGTATTACAATTGTATTTTTTTATAATTTGAACTGCAACCAATAAAATTCAAACCAAAGTCATATAATCTTTGATTTACTTATTAATCTCATATATTTTTAAATACTTTTTGCATTACTCAAATATTCATTTAAGAGTAAAAAGTATATAGATTATTTTTATATAGTTTTATATAGTATTTTGAAATTTTCATATAAAATTAAAATATACTACTTATAAAACTTTTTTAAATTACAATCAATTTTATTAAAATTTTACAAAATATAAATAAAATAATTTATTTATTATAATAAAATAATTTATTTATTATAATAAAATTTTGAACTATTATTATATTTAAAAAATATATACTTATATATATCCCAAAATTTTTTTAGGATGATTCTAAATTTTCTAAATACAAGAGTATTAAATTTGATTAGTTAATTTACATAATCTTATAAGTTAATTTAATTAATAAATTTTTATATCTAATCTTTAAAAAGTTATATCTTACTAAATTTTTACTTAAATTTAATAATTTTACTATTATTAAAATCAGAAAAACCTGCTTTGCAAGCTTTTTTTTTATAAATTAATATTAGTTTACTTAATATAATTTTTTATAAAATTAAATATAAAAAAATTTTACCATTGAGTTTATATATAATTTCAATATAGTACCCTCTACTTTTAAATTAAAAATATTTATATAAAACCAATATATGTTCAACTTTGTTAAATAATTGGCTACCAATAGTTATATATTATACAATTTTGATCAACTTACTAATAGTCATTTTACTAAAAGTTCATTTAGCCAATATCTCATAATGGCTAAACATTAATTATTTCTAAATATTCCATTAAAATCTCTTAAATTCAGTTTTTACTATTCAAGTAATTAGCTTTAAGAATTTTGTTAAGAATTCTTGAGTGCAAAATAAATGCTTTATTAATATTTTCAAATAAACTTCCTTATCATCATGTGTTTATTAAAACTATTAAAACTCCAAATTCAAAATATGCAACGTAAAATCTAACAGGTTATTTATCTTTCAAAAATTCCCTCGGGTATTTTTAATACATCACGAACCGTTGTTTCTTCTGGTCGAATCACGGATCTACTAATTTCAGCCATTAACTCTTCTTGTTTTATGATTTCATCCTACGGAAAATAAGTATTACTATATATATATACTTTCTTGAAAATAAAAATATGAAATTAATGTCACACGCATGATACATGAAAGATAGCCATCATTTGGAGAACAGCCTTATACTGATGCCGACCGTGAAAGCTAAAAGGGATTGTTGCGGTAGCAAGTTCTACCGAAAGGAATCTTCCATCAGGTAACATGTTTAAAGAGTATAGAGTCATTCTGGTACCTATATAAGACAAAGGATAAATATCAAAAAATTCTAATATGAAATCACGTACATTACTTACTAATAACCAGAGTACAATATACTTTTAATTTTGTTGCAAGTTGCACATTACAATCGATGTAGTTTCTTAAAACTTCAATTAAGTTTAAAGTGTCGGTTTTGATAGTTTTCTTCGTATCTCCTAGTGTATGTTTATCGGTTGCATTAGATGGGCCACCTGCCACCTCCATATGCCATATTTCCAATCCATCTGAATGCCGAATTGCTTTGGCATCGACTTTTACTATTCCAGAATTAGCTTCAGATTTCGTTATTTTGGAAGAATTTGAGTGGGTTTCAATCCAGTCAAAATCAAGTGTAAAAAATGTTGATTCATAGAATTTAAAGATTGAAGATATTCGATTTACTATGAATTTACGTTCTCCGATTTTTCGGTCTATTTGAGGATGGATATCTACAAGATGATAGCTAAAAAAGAAACAATTATTAAATATTTATTTTGATACAATATTAAATAATAAACTTTACTTACAAATCAATAAGAATCTTGTCACAATATAATCGGAATAGCTCAATTGGCTTCTTAACATAAAATCTAGTTCTGAAATCATCTCCGGCCTCTTTAAGGATGCTATCCAGATATTCTTCCAAATCAGATGTCCATACGGAAGGTGTGGTATTACGAACAGAGAATAGTTCAATAGCACACTCTTCACCTATTTCTAAAGCCAGCTCAGAGGCCGTTTTACCAAAAGCACATACTACGGATATATTTTCGGAGTATCTGGATAATTTGTACGGCAAGACAAATTAGAATGCTTTGTATTAGTTAAGTAATGCATAGCAAGTAAAAATGAAAAACTTACTGCTGGACTTCTTTTTCCAACGGTCGTTTGTTAGGCGTCGACATCAATGAGCTAATATCTCGAGGAGTTTGTATTAAGGTTTTGAGTGGGAATTCTAATTGCAAACAAGCGGTACTATCCATTTCATTGTTATGAATATAATCTTGTGCAAACGATACGTGATATATTTCATTAATCTGTGCTTTGCTGCCCGTTGCCAGTTTATTAACTTCCTTTACCTAATAGTTAAATTTTAGCTAATTTTGTTTCTTGTAAAATTGTCAGAGTATAACTTACATCCTCTTTGGTTATCCTAGGACGTTTCAAAATCTTCTCTGGTGTATCAAATGTACCTGGGATAGCTGACCAGTCCTTAAAAAATTAAAATATTAAGATTTGTAGGTAGCTATCCTTTAGACTAAGAGTCCCAGCTTGCACTAAGTATCGAACTAAGAGTTCATAACTAGTATCTAAGAGACCTAGCTTGCACTTAAGTGTCGAACAAAGAGTTCATAACTGTTGGACTAAGCTCTTGAATAATTAAATTCATCCTACAAAAAATTCGCACCGTCTTTTTTTTAGAAGTACTAATTACTTTACCTTCCATTGATTAATTATTTCTTGGGATTTATTTCTGCGCGCATCGTCGAAATTGGAAGAAACCACAATCTTCTGAAGGTCTTTTTTTATGCTATCTAAAATTTTCGGTCGATTACCCTTCATCTTCGTTTTATAATACTGAATTATTCTGTCGCAAGTCCAATTTTCAACCGAATTTGTGTTGTAGAAATCCATTGAAAAGAGAAGGTGAGAATAAACGTCTTATGGCGTCTCGAGATCACTTCTGTGGGTTAAAAAAAAAAAATTCGTGCAACATAGCATGCAATTCCTATTTGCTACTGGGTTTACAAAAATTACGTTTTTGATGCATTTCGATCACATAAAATTACTTTCTTGATGTATCTGCATAAACATTATGAAGATCACATCAGAAATGTAATTTGGAAATTTTTTGTCCGTCCACACGCGTACCGCACGCGTGTTTAAATTTGTAATTTAGTGTAACAAAAATATGCATGCTTACGCGTTTGTTATGTTATGTGTATTAGACTAGTCAGTAGATTGATTGTCTAGAGCGTAGTGAAGAACATTTAGTGTTTAAGTCATAGTAATACAAAAGTTGCGTTTTTGATGCATCAATAGTTACACTTTTGATTAAATAATTATTAATGTATCAAAAACATAATTTTAAAAATTTTTGTTTGTTTACACATGTGTTTATATTTGTACTTTAGTATAATGAGAAAATATGCAATTATATTTTTGCAATATACAAGTATAATTATTAATATGTTTTGAGCATATAATATTATATATTAACTTGTATTAATCTAGTTCTTAATAACAAAACTTTAAATAATAATATGCAATGTTATGTTATTATATTCAAAATTTTTTTAAATATGTTTAATGTTTAAATTATTTTTTTTTATTTTTTTTTTTGGTATTAAGATGATCTTTTTAGTTTTTTGACTTTTATTAATCACTTATTAGTATTATAGTTTAATGAACCACTACAGGAGAGAGTACAATTAGCTACACATATAACTTTTCTATATTACCTATTTAAGAAGTTTACCCAAAGGTTCTCTACCAATTGTTATACCTAATACCTCTGCTTGAGTGTTTCACTAATGTTTAAATTATTATATATTTAAGAATGTTTATCCTTTAAACTATTTTCCAGACAAATTTGCCTGGAATTTTAAATTAAATTTAGTATTTTTTAAATAACACAATAAATTATTAATAATATGGGGTACAG